ATCAATTATTATTTTTAGAGACGAGCCACCAAAACTTTGTATTCGACTTTTGTCTTGGTCAAACGTTTGGTGGCTCGTCTCTAAAAAAAATAATTGATTTTAGGAAACCACTAAACCGTATCTGTAAAGTCTTCACTAACATTTTTGCCATGTACTTGAAAATCCCTTTATGACAAAAGCCCTTTTGTACTATGGTGTTCTGACAGTTTTGTTTGTAGGGGTTATTTTTGAGGCTTCAGATCCTTAAAAACAGCTTATAATTATACGATAATAATAAAGTGTTACCAAATAATTGGTTCAAAATATTATTTATTTATATATTATATAATCATAAAAAATGAAGACTTTAGTAAGGGAATTTAACAAGCTTTTTCCGGGGATTAAGGATTGTTTTAAGGTTGAATTTTGATTAAACAGTATTTTCTTCGTCTTTTCTACTATATGTTACATTTTAGCTTTTCTCATATCTTTACTATTGTAGTTCAAAAAGTAAAGGCTTTCTTTTTCAATCCTACTTTTGTGTCATTATACTGTTTTAATCGATATAAAGCACTTTCGTCAAGCAATTTGGATTGGTATATCTAAGATTGCTTATTAGAATATTAATAATAATAGAAAAATTACGTCTGGTTGTAATATCACTAGAAGACCATGACATGCTACATCTGATGTGTGAGAGTGGCGATATGGATTAGTGTTGTGGTCTTGTTTGGACGTACCAAATTCACCAATAAAGAAATATGGTACTAGATAGATAAAGTTTAACATCTACATTGTGTGTGTGTGTATAAGAAACAAGAGGATATTAAGGGAAATATTAAGAGTATCTCTTTCGAGATGCCCATAGTACAGCTTGATAGTACAGTATAATACAATAAGTACAAAACTATTGATAAATCTCATAATTCCAATATTTGTAATATGCTTTAACTAGATAACTTCAAGCAATTTTATTTCAGTTGCGATACCAAATGCTTATCATGGAAATTTTACTAGCTACAATTAAATCTCTGGGGTCTACATGTTCGTTGTCTTTTTTTTTTGGAGAGGCAGACAGTTTGCACATTAAACAGCATTAATTCAGCTTAGTTATTCCGACATACTGATCTTCTTTTTCTTAAGCAAAGTAATAAAATGAGCTTGTCTCAACTTCAAGACAGAATATTATATGTGAATTTTCAAAAAGTTTTGCTGTCTTTATCTTTTTTGATGACGATACAAATAACAAAATATAGTTTTTAAAAGTTATTTGCTGCGTGACAGGGCTCTTCTTCTCAAAGGTTGTGGACAAAAGGGTAATTTGTTTTTGAGAGAGTCACACACTATCTCTGTCTTTTTTTAAAAAAAAAAGTAGAATCATGGATGATTTTGACGATCCCTCTGATTTCTCGTGTTATGATCTTCAGGAATTGGATAAACACATGCGATGTCCGATATGCAAAGAACTTGTACAGACACCCATGATCCTTGCTTCATGTTCCCATACATTTTGCGCAGGTTGTATTCGCCGCAGCATGGTGCGTGAATTGTGCTGTCCATTGTGTCGTGAACCAACAAATGAAAGTAAGCTTCACCACAATCATATGCTTGAGAATGTGCTGTCTCAGTGGAAGAAGACAAGGTAATTATCTTAAGATACTCTTGCAATGAACTTATGATTGTGATCAGAAAACACATTTTAGATCTTGAAAAGAACATTACTTTTTCGCAACCAAATATATCACCTGTTGTACAAGCACAACCACGGCGTGTTCTCACTAGATCGGCAAAAGGGAAGGGGGTAGAAAAGGCAGAACCAGTCCAAGAGGTGACATTAACAGGCAAGGATATAATAGAATACAAAAAAATAGAACATTAATAAAAGTAAATGAAAAATTAATAAAGCTTATTGGAATAAACAGACATAAGTGTTGTGACATGTCCTGTGTGCTCTCAAACGATGCTTATGAGCGAGCTTAATTCACATATTGATCAATGCGCAACAAGCGATGCTCATGCCTTTCATCCTTTCATGCCCCGGGTGACACACCCTCAGATAAAATGTGCGGGGTGAGACTCATAATTACAAGACAATTCACACATCTGATAGTTATCCCTAGCAATCCTCCAAAGAAACCTACAAAATTTGTATATGGTATGCAATCTGATAAAGATATGCGGAATATACTAAAGGTAGTATTAATATCCCATTCAATAAACCATAAAATATGCTTAATGAACCTTTTCTAGGATCTTGGGCTGGATACCCACGGTGATAAACGTAGAATGATATGGAGACATAAAGAGTACTCGCTTCTTTATTCAATCAATGAAGATTCTCGGAATCCTCTTGACGCAAGAGAACTCAGGCAAAAGTTGAAAACAACAGAATCAGAATATTTCAGTACACAAAAGAAGATTCCGATAGCTACAATTGATCCTGAGGAATACAATATCCTTTTGACTAAAAAAAAAAGTTGACAGATAACTAAGATGTCTTATACCTATATCTATAAATATTCCTTAACCAAAAAAACTGGACTTACAGAGGAAACATCAATATGAATATGCAATGCTTGTAGAGCAAGCCAAGAAACGCAAACACGATGTCGGGTCAAGCGAAATTAATGGTAATCTTTTTTTTCCCTCTTAATATGTTCTTTTTTGTTTTTTATTTTTCAATATCTAAATATGAATATCATTTATATCATTTATATCTTAGATTCATAATAGTAAAGTGAAAAATACAGATACAAAACCGATGGTGTTCAAATGCTGATCATGAATCTACCTTTATTCAAATTAATACAAATACTTTTTTACTGTGAGGATATTTGGTCTATAAAAAACAAATCATGTTGACTTCTCCCAACTGGATATAATTTGATTAACAAGTAGTGCATTTTTTTATTGGAGATGGTTGGCGTATTTCACTGTAGAAAAAGATATATAATAACAGGGTCTCATTTGATTATGTATAAAGTATACGATCAGCCTATACACTAGAAAAAAGGCTATTCTAGTGAGATTGTTGCAAGTTTTCTAGGGTTCAAAGTGTGTTTTATAGTAAAATTTGATTAAGTGCCAACTTTTCTCTCTTTTATATATATCCCACTTTTTACCCCGTCATGTTGTTGCAGTCAATCAAAAACACCTTTTCCCAACTTCTCTAACTCTGTACAGAAATAAAGTTAATAAAATTACTCGAATCTAATAGTTTACCATTCGGTAGCAAACCCCCTCCTGAATTCGGGGTACATCCTATTTCATAACGATACCATCTTATACAAACCACATTCTTATTATAAAACATATGATAGCTATGGCCGGAGTATTAGTTATACAAGAGGTACGTATTATACTACAGACAATTTGCCACTAATTTTGTATTGAGATTACCAAGGTCTACAAATATTTCGAGAATTCTTATAAGCAGTTCAAGTCTCTTGATATGAATAATAATATAAAGTTATTTCTAAGCATAATAGACCTTAGAAAAAAAGATACGAGTAAATTTGAAGGACTTCACTCTAAGAAAAAAATCTCCGGGCTCTTAAGAAAACCTGCCGATTGACACCCAGAGTACTTGTAAAAGGCACTATAACTAATTACGATAATATTGCAAGGAGGGACGTTCAAGTTGTATGGTCTCTATATTCGGGTTACTAGTTAGCACAAGTTATAATCCTTAATTGAGGCGTGGTAAAATGGAACAGTAAACTACAATAAGACACGTTCTCGAGACAATAGATATCCACTCCAATAGTTAGGATGAGTCAAATAGTAATCAAGCTTCATTTTCGATTAGTATTATAGGTGCTCTTCACGCCCCCAGACCTTGCATTATGGCGCTACACCAGATCTAATATATAGACCTTACACGAAGTAATTTTGGAGCTGTATGTTACTCAAGCTATTTTTGGCGTACTTGATCCTTAAAATGCCATCATAGTTGGTGTGGACAGACTAAAAGTTCAAAAAAAGTGCAAAAAAAGGGTAAAACAACTTCATCCAGAACTTAGTCAATCAGACTAATTTATGACTGTCCACACCGTGTTTTTAAAAAAAAAGTTCAGAATTAGTTCAAAATACATATTAGATAAAATTGTGCATATAATCCCGTCTCTGTCATTAGGTGAGAACCTTTTATAGTGAGTTTTTCTAGACCTCTCATTATATGACACATCCTCCCCATAAAAAAATGCTTCTCTTCTCAATCCTAGTGGCAACGGAAGAAGACTAGCTAAGTAAAGTCAATTAAAAAGTATACCCTTTTTTTGCCCTTTTTTTGAACCTCCAAAAAGGGGGCAAAAAAGGGGCAAAATTAATTAAAACTCTCGCCTAATTATATGCCTTACATTTCTGCTCTTTTTTTTTGCCCCTTTTTTTGAACTTTTAGTCTGTCCACACTAATTGTTTTCTCCCAATATTATTAATCGAATCCAACATGCAAGGCACAAATTCATCAGAAAACACCCACAGATCATATGAGAAGGCCGATCCCTATAAATACGGATGCTTCATGTACATGAATTTAGTAAATTACGGGGCAACCCAGATTTCATTTGTGGTTGGCATGAGCCTGTCAACCGTCAAGTACATCATTAAGAGAGTTGATGAGACAGGATCGCCAGAGCCAAGAAAAGGGTCCGGACGACCTAGAAAAATTGACGAGAGAACAGAAAGGTACCTTGTCCAAATAGTTCGTAAGGACCCCTTTGCCTCATTTTCTAGGTTAATGGCCTCCTTAAAGAACATGGAGGTATTTGTCTGTAGAAAGACAATAATCAGTTGTTTAAAGCGTTTGGGCTTCGGATCATATATCGAAGCTCACAAGCCAACTTTAACCGAAAGACACAAGAAAAGAAGGCTGTAATAGGCCCGTGAGCATGTCAATTGGACGGATGACCAATGGAAAAGTGTAGTGTGGTCAGATGAATCACGATTCACAGTTGATGGTAATGATGGAGGACCTAGGGCAATCAGAAAAGTCGGTGAAAGGTTCAAGGAAGAAAATATCATCGAAGGAACCAAGTGGATGAAGGCCAGTGTGATGATCTGGGGTTATTTTTGGGCTGGTGGTTTTGGGCCTTTGGTGTTCCTAGATGGTAACGTAAACCAAGACCAATACGTGAACACTTTGGCTTAGATCTTTCTCCCTTGGTTCCAAAATCTTTTACGGGAATAGAACAGGAGCTTCGTGTTCCAAGAGGACAACGTCAGCTGTCATATTGGGTCGTATTCGAGGTGGTGGAATGATAGCCATGAGATCTGAGGTTTTGACTACTGGCCCGCTCAAAGCCCAGATCTCAACCCCATCGAGCGTCTCTGGTGGGCTCTTGGGAGGCGCATAAGTGACGAGAGGGCCATTATTAGCAACGTTGAAGATTTGAAGGCTGTAATACAACGTGAGTGGCGAAGGATAAGTCTCGAACTTGCATCAACTTTGGCCGGCAGCACGCAGCATCGATGCCAGGCTGTAATTGAAGCCAAGGGAGGTCATACAAAATATTGATATTTTATTTTTTGATATATTTCAATAATAAACATATATATAATCTTTTATTTGAAGTTTGAAAGCTTTAGCTATTATTACTGATGAGCAGTTGCATGTTGAATACATGCCATGATTTATCTCATGCATTTTTTGGGCTCAGAGGTCGAAACGTTTTTGACTGTGACTGTATATATATTGCCAAGTCAATTGTGTCTTTATCTTTTCTTTTTCTTTTTCTTTTTCTTTTCTTTATATACAATAGTTTATCCAAAGGATACCTAGGACTTCTTATGACAGTTGACAGACTTAAGAAGCAGAGTCCTGCAGAGGCCAAGAAAATTCTTGAATCCCAATTTGAATCACTCAAATGGAGTAAGTTCACAGATTCATCAATAAAATGGTTTGACTAATTAATGACAATATAGCTACTATTCGAAAAGTTCTCAAAGAATGCGATTCAAATGTAGAAGATGCAATTCTCAAGTTGAAAGAAATGGAACTTGAAAACGGTCCCACAAACAAAGCTGCTGTGCAAAGGAGATCTGAACGTAAACCATCGTTCTTTACGCACCCACACGCGCGCGCGTGTGTGGTGCCAACATAAACACAAAATATTAAATATTTAATTGATTTTTCATTTTGTCTACATATAGGGAAAACCCGCAACAAAAGCGGTGTGGTTATGGATAACGATAACTTGGTATCAGAGTGCGAGGACATGGAAATCGATGCTGAGCAAATCACAGTCAAGCATGACACCCTGAAGAGAAAGGCTGAATCTCAAACTAGTACTGCCAAGAGACAAAATACAGGTACAAGATCCACTGATATTAAGTATAAAATTCTAAATATATTTTTACCCATGTAGGGCCCAAAAAATCTGGATATTTTGTCCCGGATTCTGAAGAAGTTTTGGAAGACGAGAATCTTGATGTTATGGGAGAGCAAACCGTAGATGAAAAAGACCAGGAAGTCCAAGAAGTCCAAGAAGTCCAAGAAGTCCAAGAAGTCCAGGAAGTCCAGAAAAACCAGAAAAACAAAAAAAAACAGAAAAAACCGAAAGCCCAAAAAAAACAGAAGGACCAAGAGGACCAAGAGTATCATAGACCTCCATCAGTACCTATGCGCACGCTTGATGACTTTATACTTTACGATATAGCGAATAATCGCAGAATTCATTCTTTGGATGACATCGGAGTGGATACTTTAGAAATATGTGCATCCGGTAATGTCAAGGCTATATTTGAAGATGATGAAGGCGAGGACGATGTTGATGAAGGAGACGAAGAAGACGAAGATATCACAGATAGTTATCCTGCAACTATGTCGGTTCAATTGTCATGTTTATTTTTCTGGAGAGTTTATATGAATGCGAACGGCGAAAGCGAGATCTGGATTCAAACCCAATACGCGTGGTACAAGCTTGGAAAACCATCGGATCAATACAAACCGTATTATGACCCAACCTTTGCCCGTGTCAGAATTTCAAATGTAGCTGAAAAAACTCTTAATGACAACGAAAATGCAACTTACAACGAATTCTTGGATACCTTGTTAAAATCTGAAAGTCCATCCGCTTCCACTGATTACTCGATCAGCCTGACAGAAAAAGATGTGAAGACCCATGTAGATTATGTTTTGAAAGAGTTGGAAGAGTGGGCAAATGAAAGTGATAAAATCACTGTCATGGTAAAGCCTCTTTTTCAGCGATTGTTAAAGCTTCGGTCCACCAAGAAAAAGCCAACACGTTCCGCAAGATCACTTAATCTGGGAGATACTGGAAATCAAAACAGTTACGATACTGTACGAAACATGAACCAAAAAGTTCTCAAGGAACCAAACCCTACATGCGTTACACCACATGTAGCTACAATTGCAAAGGACATGTTCGTTCGTCGCCTAATTGAGATTAAGGAAGCTGCTAAAGAAGCCGAAATTATGTCAGATAAAACTGTCTTGCCGAACTCTAACTATAAAGACCAGGATGCCTACCGATCTTTCACAGATGTTATCAGCTGGAAGGGTGAACCAATCAAGAAAGAAGGGGCTATAAAGTACTACGATACGGTGGAAGTAGACGGAGAATTGATTAAAGTTGGCGATTGCGTCTACCTTCGAAACGATACGGAGGAACCCTGGTTTGCTCGTATTATGTACATGTTTGAAGACTCTGCTTCGGATGATAAGTTCATGTTCCATGCCCGTTATTTCTCCCACAGTCGAGATACTATTTTACAAGAACTTTCTGGAAAGAGAGAGTTGGTTCTCCTAGACTCGTGCCGTGACAATGCCTTGAATTGTGTGATGGGCAAGTGTCAATTGACATATCTTGGAGCAGAAGACAGAGAGCCTGTGGAGTTTGATAGAAAGAACTGGTGGTTCTACAGGTAAAATATCAAAATAGAATGTTAATTTATTCGAATGACTTGGTCTAACTCATACACCACAAAAAGATATTGGTACGATCCTGATTTTGCAGTCTTTGAAGACGTCAAGTTGCACGAGGCAGACGATATGTTTGATGTAAACCGAAATTGTCAAGGGTGTGAATCTTGCGATGCAATCAATCATAAAAAAGATGAAAACAAAGTCCGGGATCTTAGCAGCAATGAGTTTAGTTATGATGGTCACACATATCATACCGATGATTTCGTCTACATTACCACGGGTGTAGCTAACACTCCTTACCAGATTGGCCAAATTGTATCTTTGCACAAGCTAGAAAGTGGTACTGGGGATCTGGCGGCTCCTAAACGACGTAAGACAAAACGGTCAGGCAAGAATAAAGCAAAGGAGCTTTTACCCGTGGACGTCCAGGTCCGAGTTTTTGAGAGAACCTATCAGATCCGGAAATTTAATCACTATAATGTCATTGAGAGAGCCGAGATGAAATACAAGGATTCCCGTTCCCTTATTTATACAAACAAAATTATAACCATCAATGCATCTAAAATGGAAGGAAAATGCTGGGTCGAACACACTCTGGATATTAAAGACATGGATAAATTCAAGGAAGACACAAATTCATTCCATGTATCTGAAAAGCGCGTCAACAAAAGAATTGAAAAGTTCAAAAATAGCGACCTCAAGCATTGCAAAACATGCAAAGATGCGCGTGTTGAAGCACAAGAAGCTCATTCCCGCTTTATGGAAAACGGTACCAAGCTTGTGGGTCTCGATATATTTTCAGGTTGTGGTGGTCTTACCTGCGGTATGGACATGACGGGCGTCGTTGATACAAAATATGCCATTGAATTTTCTCAAAGTGCATCTCTAAGCTTTGAAAAGAACTTTTCTGGGTCGATAGCCTATAATCAGTGTGCAAATGTGCTACTGGAAAGAGCTATTTCTCTCCACAGTCGTAAAGAAACTCCGGGAGATCTCAAAGACCACTTAGGCCGTCCTTTGCGCGCAATGCCTGCCCCTGGTGATGTTGACTTTATCTATTGTGGACCACCTTGTCAAGGATTTAGTGGTATCAACCGTTTCAAAAAGGCTGATGATGTCAAAAACACGCTTGTGTGCACAGCCCTTAGTTACGTTGATTTTTACAAGCCCAAGTATTTTTTGTTGGAAAACGTACGCGGATTGGTTAGCTACAAACTTGGAGGCGAGCAAAATGGACAGAATCGAATTAAGGGTGGGATTGAGATGGGAGTTCTCAAGTATATATTGCGTTGTTTGACAAGTATGGGATATCAAACTCGCTTCAGTATCCAACAAGCTGGTCATCATGGTGTGGCTCAAAGTCGTCGTCGTCTATTCATCTGGGGAGCCAAGATTGGACACAAACTTCCTGAATTTCCACAGCCAATAACATGTTTCCCTAAACCAGCCTCTCTTTCCATTACCTTACCAGATGGTACTTCCTTCTCATACATGCACAGAACTGGTGGTCAAGCCCCGTTGGGAGCTGTAACAGTTGGTGATTCTATTTCGGAACTGCCAGAGTTTGAATATAAAAATATAAACGGCGTGTGCCCAGAAACCATTGAGGAAATAGAAGCTCGTGAGGCAAGCACAGTCCCTCAGATTGATACAAGCTCTAAAGGCTCAGTTGGGCAGCTTATCCAACCTTATTCTCGGCCACCTCTGACAGACTTCCAAAAATGGATCCGTTTGGGGGCTGATCAACTTGCAAACCACTTCACTCGAACATTTACCGATATTAATATCGAGCGCATTTACAATATCGAGATGACCCCAGGTGCCGATCATAGCTGTAAGTAGGCTAAAACTGATTAAATATGTATTGCCTAACACTTTTAAATAGCTCTTCCACATATTCTTAAGCCTTGGTGTTTATCTCACGAAGATTCTGCTGCTCAGCGCCACAATGGCTGGAAAGGTCTTTATGGGAGACTTAATTTTGACGGCCAATTTTCAACTACTCTAACAGATATGTCACCTATGGGAAAGCAAGGTGTAAGTAGATAAATATAATGAAAACAAGTGTGTATACTAACGTTGTTTAAATAGACTATTATTCATCCCAACCAAAGAAGAGTGCTTTCTGTTAGAGAATATGCTAGAGCACAAGGATTCCCAGATCGCTTTGTTTTTTACAGCACTTCGCGCGATTGTAGTGCTGCATCTGTCAAGGATATGTATCGTCAGATCGGCAATGCTGTGCCTGTTCCTTTGGCCTTTGCTCTAGGAAAAGAGCTTAGAGCTGCCATCCAAGAAGATTGGCTTAAGAGCCAATCTTGAGCGCTTATATCTTAAGTAGTATTTTTATTTTATAATTTATCCTCTCTGCATATATGGCTCTGCTTCTTTTTGGCTTAAAGGTGAAAACAAAAATTAAAATCAAAATTGAAGTAGAGATCATTTTTACAGGAAAACATAAACGAATTCAAAGTTTTATATAATCATTAAATGCAAACTATTTGTAATTAGTACAAAACTCGAGATGTATTGAATATACAAATTTTAACTTGGACCAAGCATATAAAACAAACCGAAAACGAGCTTAAATTGACTTTATGAATTAAAGTCTCTCAACTTATATTTTCTCTCTGAATAATCACACTATGTAGTAACATATACTGACATGAAATCAATATACGGATATCACCAATGAGATTTTGAGAAAAATTATACATTGTTGTTTTCATTTATTTTCTCTTTATTTTTCTCAATCAAATATTTTCATTTCACCTAAAGTTACTGAATAAGCTCGTAAAGAGAATTCCGAGCTTTTAGGTTATATTAAAGCTAATGTTGCTGGACTTTATGACTTTGGCATCTACATGGCTAATATACCATCCAAATATAATATACTTAACACAAGGGTAACAGCAAATCTGGAGAGAGTGAATAAAACAGCTCTTGCACTTGACCAAAAAAATGTGAATGAAGGCCTGTTCTCTTGAATGATAGTGATTTGAGAGTTCTGCGAAATATTGTGCATAATGTCCTAACCGCAATATTATCTGTGATTGCAACTCAATCTAGGAATTATTGAATGTACCCATCAATAGGGATGATTCTCACAGTTACTTAAAAATGACTTGCCTTACGATATTATGTTACTGCAAAAAAAAAAGACTTGATGGAAGGGAGAAAGAACAAAACATCAAAAATAGGTTAGAATTTACAAAAAAAAATCGTCATTCCAAACAACGATGGGATTTTGTAATATGGGGTGATGAGTCCGGATTTGTGGCTTCTTCTAGGGCAGGAGATGTGCATGTCTGATGTACTTGGACACAGAAATTTAGGAGACGTTATGTGCTTTCAAGAATATAAGGTGAAGAGGCTTCAGGGATGGTCTAGGGGTACATTTGGGCTGGTGGTGTGAAGAACTTTGTAATTGCCTATGGTATGCTAAATTAGTCCAAGTACATAAAACTCTTGGAGCATCATGTAGCGCCCTCATCCTGAAGTCTTAAGAAAATTAAACCTAGTAGGTTTACTTTCCAAGAAGATAAAATATCATGTTATAAAGGTGTTTTTGCAAAAAAAAAAATAAAAAAATACACACACACACATAAACTGTAGATTAACATGGTTAAAAAATGCAAAGAAGTTGTATATTTTTATCAAAAAATGGGTGTTTTAAAAACATGCTATATATATAACAACTCTAAACGAGTGTATTTGTTGCGCAAAGAATTGAAGTGCAAGACTTTTTCAGAGAATTTTGTACTATCTCTTTAGATGTTTTATTTGTTTTTAGCTCTTTTTACTTTAAGAAATATATAGTTATAATCCAACGACGTACGTCTCGTAGCTAAATATCTTTAAAAATAGGATGATGTACTAGTGTTCAACTCTTTTTAATCATTTTAAGCTGGAAACTGGAAACTGGAAACTATAGGCGGTAACGGGAAACTGGGAGCTGTAGAAAAGTATCGAGTAGAGACCAAAAAGGAAAAGTGGATCTATAATATTTGAAAGGAGTACTTCGTAGTACCATATCTTTACACTATGGTAAAAAATGGGTAACTTTAGTAAGATATTTTTGCAATTACTACAAAGCACCTTCCGCTACAGCTACCACTACCACTACCACTACCGCGCAGTACGATAATAATAATGTGCAAATTATAACAAAGAGCAATACGATACCTTCTTTTTTATTATTATAAGAATAATATTTCAAGGAGTATTAAAAAATGTGTATTTTATTGAGCTTTTATCTTTTCTTAAAAAAAAACATTTTCTTTTGTTTATATAAATATACTTTTAAATTATTTTTGGCTGATTTGATCATACTGAAGTATACCTTTTGAAAAGTGTCTGCACAATTGCTTTGTGTAAATAATACTTGCTAAATATTATATTCTCTGAATAACGATATCTTCTTGTCGATAAACAATAAATGTACTGTTTTTTTTACAGATTAAATAGCACAGTCTTTATGGGATTGAAGCTAGCTTCTAACATTATGAAAAAAATGGAGGTGGTAATTCTGATAGCAATTTTGAAAAGTACCATAGAACTTTTTTCAAGATTATTATCAAAATTACCACTCGTTTCCTATACTGTAAAGTGCAAAAGGATATAAATGTATGTTTCCGAAAGCAGTGCATACAATGTTAAAGTAAGTTTGATAGTGGCTAAAATAAATGTCTACTCATAGCTCCTTAGAGAATATCAAGGGGATGTTGATATAAAGCATTGTGTCTTCTGTAGAGCTAACAAAGCTTAGTGTAACCAGGTTAGTTGTGGTTTATTAGGAACCTTTAATGATGCTTACCCCAGAATAATGTTTCTGAATCAATTTACTAGTACTATGTTCGCGGGATTAACTGATTTGTCCGACCTAGTAAACAGATCACCCAGGGTCACCGCATTATTAAGAGATATATAATATACAAAGTCTAATATTCTGCACGCTAATATACACATACAAAGGTTCACATGTTAAATATAATGTGTGTACAAAGGTACAGGTACCTTACAAAGCGAATCTAACGCTTAAACATAATACGTGGTAATAACAACACGTCTGTATTCTCCTAATATTGCTCAGATCTTGATCAAATACGATGACTTATCCCGAGTAATATATGTACTTATTTATGTGTCCTGCACGAGATACATAGTACAAGCTAAATAAGGTAATTTTTCCGAGAGCTATCGAGCCATGGCTACTTTAATATTTACCTTTCTTTTATTTTATTTTTTTGGTCAAACTTTATTGCTACCATTATTGCTTTTTGATCACTTTAGAATTTTGTAGACTGTGGCCACCAAATTGATCTTGTTCGCGACAAATTAAGTGCTTGTATACTCTAATAAGGGGAGCCGGATAAATTTTATAAGAAAAACCATGTGTATAATATTAGATCTCATACTTCTTGACCCGCCAAATATAAAAAAAAAATGAATAAAAGGTATAGATTTTTTTTGTACTTTAAAGGTAGGACAGGCTATTCCAGACGGGGAATTTGACGATCAATTTGGTCTTTAGTCTTTCAAACACAAATATCCCGGTTGGTCTCCGCACAACCCCTCTTTCCCCACTCTCACTCTCTTTCCGTCATTGAAACTCAGATACACCATATAATAAACCACACACACACAGAAACATTTACCTTTTACTTTTCTCTCTTTCTCTTTCTCTATCTCTCCCGTCTACTAATGTCTCTTAACAAGCAAGAAAACTTGTCAGTCATCCTTAACAAGCCTCTGGATATTGTCTTGGTAAGTAGCCTCTCTAGTATCACACACATCCACATCCACCTCCATATATATGCTTGTGTGTGTGCGTGTATCTATGTATGCATGTATTTTCTGTAAGCTTATAAATGGATTGTAGGAGAACCGCCCTATTCCCACTCTTGGTAAAGGTGGTAAGTAAATACATATCCTTCTTTGCAACACCAAATCTATAACGCGTACATTTAGATGTTCTTGTCAATGTCAAAGCCACTGGTATTTGTGGATCCGATGTTCACTACTGGCAACATGGTGCAATCGGCTCTTTCAAGGTCGAGAAACCCATGGTCCTTGGCCATGAGTCCGCAGGTATAATTGCCGCCGTAGGTGAGGGTGTCAAGAACGTCAAGGTTGGTGACCGCGTTACTCTTGAGCCCGGAGCTGGATGTAGAATGTGCGACTATTGCAAAACTGGTCGCTATAACCTCTGTCCTGATATGGTCTTGTAAGTAAAGAAGAGGGTTATAACAAATAGTTGTCAGGATAATATAATATAGTGGAAAGTTGAAGGTTGATATGTATATATTTGAGCCTAACTAATAACTGCAATTTCTTTAGTGCGGCCACTCCTCCTTATGATGGTACCCTCTGCAACTACTACCGTCACCCTGCCGATTTTTGCTACAAGTAAGTATCTCTGGTTAAATCAGGATCGTTTTTTAGGGTATTGTTCAGATGGGTTAAGTATTGCTGTATTTATTTTAGGCTACCTGAAAACGTTTCAATTGAAGAGGGTGCTTTAATTGAGCCTTTGTCGGTCGGAATCCACGCTGCTAGACGTGGTAACATTCAATCCGGTCATCGTGTATTCATCTTTGGTGCTGGTCCCGTTGGTCTTTTGTGTGCAGCAGCAGCAAAAGCCGCTGGTGCAGGTCACGTCACTATTGCAGGCAAGTATACAGTCTATGGTTTGACAAAGTTCCAAGAGAGAGAGAGAGAGAGAGAGAAAAGAAGAGTATAGAAAGAATAATAAACTCATACCATGTGTGTATTACAGACCTTGTCCCTTCAAGACTTGCTTTTGCAAAGACCTACTACACTGATTCTCAGGTACTTCTCGAGAGATCAACCCCTGGTGAGCCCAACATTGAGTTCTCCCGTCGCATGGCCCAGGCCATCTTAAAGACTGAGGAGCCCGCTGATGTGGTTATTGACTGCAGTGGTGCAGAGACATGTGTCCAGATGTCCATTTTGGCAAGTATTTTAGATTAAATGATGTTTGTGCATGAGTAGAAGAAAAGTTAGGTCATTGGTCTAACTTTCTCTTCTTAAATTTTATATGTTACAGCTGGCTAAGAATGGCGGTTGTGTCATTTTGGTTGGCATGGGTGCTTCTGTTCAATCTATCCCTATTTCTGAAGTTTCCTCCAGAGAAGTTGACATCAGAGGTATCTTCAGATACTCCAACGTAAGTCATATTTAAAAAGTGTTCTTAGACAACAACTGATGAGCTAACTAACCCACAACCATTATATCTTGCGTGTGTTTCTATATATAAATAATAAACATCCATGTTTGTTCTGGGACTTTAAATAGACGTAAGTCTAAATTGATGTTTTTGTAAACACAAAAGGTTCTTGTCACTAAATCTTTTTTTTTTGTTTTGTGTAGATACCCCACTGCAGTTAGAATGATTTCTTCTGGAATTGTCAATGTCAAGCCATTGATCACACACTCCTACCCGCTCAAAGATGCTGTCAAGGCATTCCAGCACGTAAAGGAGGGCCGTGACGGAGCCATAAAGGTTCAGATCATTGGTTAAAAAAAAAGATCTAGAGACCAAATGATAGAAAAAGAGGGCCATACAACAAATGTTTTTTCTTTTATATTATTCTCTTCATGATCCTCTTACCTCGATAGAACCATCTTTACATACTTTTTTTAGTGTTCTCTCTCATGTAATATAAATACCTCTTTAATAGTCAGCATTTTCTATTAAAAAAGATAACGTTTTTTATTAAAAACAAATACAGCCTCACACATTGTATTGAAGTGCTAATAATTATGTATTAAATAAAGTATCGTCTATAGGCACTTATAAACTCTTTCTCCAAAGAAGGATATTTGCTGTTGGCATGCGGCAGGGATAAATACCGTCATACCAATTGCACAAAATGGCCGCCACATACACACAGAGAGAATTCCTTGGTCTCTTTAACTTGTACATCATTCAAAATTATAGCCAGGCTAAAATGAATGGCGTTGTTTAAAATGAGACGATTAGGAGTAAACGACCGATTATTCTTTAATTTCTTATATACTTATACACACTACACACACTACACACACATACACGTATATATGTATGTATATATTACTATTATTATTGTTTATTTATGTATTTATTTTATGTTGTGTTATGGTGTGGTATATTGTGGTGTGCTGATTATCCGATATACAAGAAATGCAATAATGCCAATCATAAGCCCAATTAGACCTAATACTCCGGGTAGCTTAATGTAAATAAAATGAGAATCGATCAAATGCAATTAAAAGAGTATATAAAGCATCTACAACAGAATCTTACCTGTAGTGCCCCCGCCAAATCTTTAGAACTAGACTGCCCATTAACGATTTTCTCGAGTCTCCGGTTTTGTTTCTCCAGCTCAATACACATACTTTTCAAATCTATGCACTCGACTTCCTTAGCCACCAAAGCTTTGTTTAGCCTTATCTTTTCTTTCTCGAATTCCAATTGAGCTTCTTCGCTTTGCCATCGATTCTGCTTGGTCTCAGACCGATTGTTTTCTGAGTCGTTTCTATAACCTTCCTTCTCCATAGCTCTTATTGTTTGTTGCCGATTATGTAATTCTTGATTTGCTGATAAAAGAGCACGCTCTTGTTGTCTACATTTTTCTGCATAAGATGCTAATTGAGCCGCTGATTTGGCTAATTGTTGTTGCAAAAGAATATTGTGCTCATCCTGCAGAATACGTACACATGTGTAAGCACTATGTTTAATCAAGTACATGGTATTAATTTAGAAGAAAAAAAGATAAAACTTACAGATTTCTTTAATTTGTCTTCATTAAATATTTTGTCTACATCCAGTACAGACTCTTTCATCGATGCCAGCTCATTTCCAACTTCCTTTGCTCTTTGCAATTCCCCCTAGTAATTAATTAATGGATTGGTTAATTAATAAGCTATTGCCATTTATTACCAAAAATAATAATACTTGTAATATATAAGCTAACAAATAGTCTCAAATGGCTTGTTTTTATAACAAGGGCTGGTGAGCCTATCTCGAATTAAAGCCACACATAATCACGCACGTGGCTCCAAAGTATTTGTGGATGAAAGGGGGTGGAATGCATAGTATTATTATAAAATATACTTACTTGTAATTTTGTCAGCAAAAGTTCCCAATGGCGGGATCGTTTTCCTGTTGTTGGTGGAACCGCTGCTGAAACATTAATATCGTTGGCAGAAGAAATTGTAGAAACGGAAGAAACGGAACAAGAAGACGATTTACGCTGTAGTTTCTACACAAATATTCACACGTGGAGATAGAAGAGATTAATATTAATAAAAAAATGTGTCTCTAGATCAAGATTGATTATCGATTATGATCACATACTGGAATATCCGAATATCCTTGGCTGTAGCCGTTACTCATAGGCATATTTAATTCTTGTGTAATTGCTGTGTCCACCTGAGACAACGGTGTAGAGAATAGATGAACATCGCACGCAACTTTATGATACAATACTACGAGAGAAACAAAGGATATATATATATATATATATATATATATATATTAATTACCACACAGACCCACATAAATATGTATATATGGGGTGTAAGCTTCTTTTGTGTATAGATCTTGATTCTTACCAGAGCCATCATCATTAGTTATATCGATTCCAAACTCTAATTCATCGCCTGTTTGCAGCTCTATTGGTACACTTTCCTCGTTTTCAGGCGATAGTCTGAGACTATTCAAGAACGTGCCATTACTAGATTTGACGTCCTTGATGTAGACCTTTTTTTTTAAAAATAAAATAAACAATTGTAATTATAATATGGTTAGGACATTGATGGTTAATGCCTGCCATGTTCGATGGCATGGCTTACTTTGCCCTTGTCCGACCATAATTCTGCGTGGGCTCTGGACAGCACTTTGGAATCGAAATAGCCGTTGAGTGGGCCGGGTGGTGTCTTTGAAGAGATTTGGCGTCCGATCTTCAAATGAACCTTTTCTCTTAGCTCAAGCATCTTCGTCTGGAACGTATTGTTGCGAGACTGAAGGATGAGTGTATTTGTGGGTACTTGGGATCGTGTTGAGTTTTTTGTCGGCATTGTAGAAGCTAAAGAGAGAGTCATGTTTTATTTTATTTTGAGATGGATGAGTTTATGATGATCTTTGGGCGGAGAAGAAAAGAAAAAAGAAGAGGATGCATAGTAATATGCTAACCTTTCTGTTTCCCTGTTTTACTCGTGTCCTCTGTGACTTGTATTTGCGCGTAGGACTCGGTCAGCATTAAGCAAGATGAGAAAACCAAAAAGTTAAAATAAAAGGAGAGATAAAAAGAGAGAGTGTGTGTGAGTGAAAGCGAGAGAGTAAAAAAGAGAGAGAAAGGAAAGGGGAGGAGTGTGGAGGGGCAAAGAGGGAGAACGAAATAAAATAAGTAAAAAATGGGAGAATGCAGGTGGAGTTCAAACGAAGTACGAAATTTTGACAAATGACTTTTTCTTCTTTTCGTTTCACCAATATTGTTGAGTGTGTAGATTTTAACGAGCTGAAGATATATACTTCTTGTCTACCAATTGATTTATTATATAAGTCCATGATTTAACTTAATACGAATACAATATTAACAATAGTATATTTGGCAAATAACCAAACAATTTCTTAGAATTAAGCAAATATTTTCTTCCTCTTTATGAAAATGCAGTAATAAAAGGTTGGTTCACTTTATGCACGTGACTTTGGTTCAACATTGAGTATCTTCAGTGGGTTACTTTATCTTCTATTTGTGCAGATAAGAGAGAGAGGTGAAGAGATATAAGAAAAGAAACATTTTATATACAGAAAGTTTGTCTTGGTTTTTTGTTTTTTGTTTTTCATCTTGGAGTCGTTAATGAAGAGATAGTTGATGACAGAACACAAATAATAATGATAAAAGGGAAATTAGACACCAAGAGTAAAATATGCGGTATGATCTGCATCTTATTGAGGACCACCCAAGGTAGTACCATGGCCAGCAGCAGCAGCAGCCAACAACTCAGGGGCAATCTCGGTGCTGATTCTCTGCATCTCTGGTGACACCTTAACAACGTCTATAACACAATTCCAAAATTACAATTAACAATCGGGCACACACACACAAATTGAATAAAGATTCAACTTACCATTCATCTCCTCTTCAGGAACATACTCAATTACGCCCATTTTAGCCAACAATTTCTTTTCCTGTAAAGTAGAATGTATATTATTTAGTTTGACATTTGTGGAATTGTCCATTTGGTCTAATCTAATCTAGTCTAGTAAAGTTGCATTTAGATCTTACATTGGAGACGGCCTTCTCGAATTGTCTCTGCTTCTTCTTGGAACGGACATTGACACAGGTGATTGCAGGGGCATACTTGGATTTAGACTTGGCAATACCTCTAGCAATGCGCTTTGTCTTTTCGTTTGTAGGACCTCTAACTATTATTCGTTGTTGTTGTTTTTGATAGAGACATAGTTTATTAATATAGGTTTAGGTTTTTTGTTCATGAGATTTAACTTACTCTTGTTAATGTTGTTCTTTCCACCCATAATGAAGATTCTTTGCTTTTCTTTTTGTGTTGTAGGCTGGGAAAAAGATTAATCTTTTTATTTTATTTTATTTTATTTCAGGAAAAAGGGACCGAAAAGTGTTTGAAAGGAAAGCAAGTCACATTATACTGACAAGGCTTTTTCCCTTCCGCTCCACAGTACTCCACAGTTCTTCACTCCACTTCATTCCACTCATAAATGCACCAACCAGATTCTCAGGTCTTTTGGTTATTGGATCACAAGAAGCCATGTTTGTGCTGCAAACCAATTATAGAAGGGCAGATACACAAAATATGGATCTCCACCATTGATTCAGTGCAAAGTATATTTATTTGCTGTGGTGATCCAACCAGATATTTGGATTATCAAGCAAACTGTTTAAAATATTCAAACATTTGTGAGACTGATCACCTTCAGCTAAAAGCATATTAACGAAATTAAGCACTAATCCTCAAAAAATAGCAATTTAAGATGTATTGTTACACAATTCTTTGGATGCTTGTCCTTTTCTTTAATTCGTATAAGAAATATTCTTTGGCTTAGCAAATAATCTTTCTGATAATAATAATATCCATATATGTGTATTTAATTATAAGCAAAATGGATCATATACAAACTATCGGTGAATACCCGTCCAAAAAAATGATGAGAAACTCCACCTTTATTATAGCTACAAATATTAACTAGTCGCTTATTTTTATTTTATTTTTATAATTATTAAGACACAAATATAATGATGATAATGCTTGTGTAATAAATGACTGGCTGATCTGAAATAAGCAAAGATTCACCTTGGTACTAATAACAGTTTCTTGGAAACATGAGCAGTTACAGCAATGAATATTCTCTGTATTAAAAAAATACCTTAATAACTACCAAGATTCAGTACTAAGAAAAATACTGTAGTTGAAGCTTATCAGAATATTATTTACACTCACAACTTTTATTTAAAATACTTATAGTTTATATAGTACTAGTGCGATCTTACCCAGATCAGCGAAATTGTGTTCTATATTTTTTTCTTTTGTACTTTCTTATATGGACAGACAATACAGCCGCCAGTCACATAAAGAAATGCCGATAGTTAAAGACGGGCATATAAGATTGCTATTTTTTTAAAAAAAAAAAAAAGAAAGAACGAAGCAAGCATATATATCTTCTTTTTCTTTACAATCATAGGGATCACAAATAACATAAAATAAAGAAAAACAATATGTCTAATACAACAGAAAATACATTCCGTAACTCGCTCAGAAACTTCAATGTCGCAAGGTCATCTCCCATCTCGCTTCCTGCTGCAAACCAGGCAAACCAGGCAGCCAATGAAAGCTCGCCTTTTGCATCAATCCGAAACAAAGCATCCAACATGTTCTCTAATGTCACATCAACGGTCCAAGATTATGTTCCCATTGGATTAAATAGTGAGGAAGAAGAAGAACCATGGTATCAAATGTCACGTGTAGAGGCAAGTAAAGCATCCATGGGAAACAAGTAAAGAATGATTATACTGAAGACAGATAATAATTTCAGAGAGTTATGGCTTGTGCACTCTGCCTTGCACTAGGAATTGCATGCTTCTTTTTGGTAAGATATTACTAATATTAATATATAACTTTATGAAAGCACGACTCTATTTGGTTGTTGTGTGTGTGTGTGTATTCCTTTGTTCATTCGTTGTCCAGGCCTTTTTTTTGTTCCTTCCAGTTTTGGCAATATTCCCTGGAAAATTCGCTGCTACATTTACATGTAAGAATCAACTATGAGACAAGATTGATCTATAGTGTGAATGTATGTACTAAGATCTTTTGTCCTGGTGGATAAATGTATATGCATATATAGTGGGTAGTATCTTGATTCTTGTTAGTATTGCCATGTTGCGTGGCCCTTGGTCTCATCTCTGCCACATGATATCTGTGGAAAGACTCCCATTCACTTGTTCATATCTCGGAACAATGGGCCTGACACTATATTTCTCTATTGGGGTCAGTATTTTTGTGAATAGATAATGGGCGTGTGATTGGAAGCTATAATATTGATCTGTGGTTTCAAATATCATTAGGCTCGTAAAACTATTCCTACAATTATATTTGCAGTCTGTCAGTTAATCGCTCTTGTCTGGTAAGTATTACTGTTATTACTATTGTTCTCTTTATGGATGAGCATTACAACGTTCGATGGGCACAACATTTAATCCATTATTTCTTGTTATATTTGTTTGTCTCTTTCATAATAAGGTATTTTGGATCATATATTCCTGGTGGAATTTCAACTCTAAGATACGGTACCTCCTACATTGGAAGAAGAGCGACTTCTCTCCTTCCTATATAGATTACATCTTTACTCAGTATACCACTCTCTTTGTACTTTTATAAATAAATATTATTACTATTATTATCTTTTTAATATATATATAATATACTAGAAACTGTTCTCCACTATTTCCCTCCCCATAGTGGACACATTTCTGCTATGAAAATCTATTATAATATGTCTCTATAAAGAGCTTTGATAATTCTCACTACTATCTGGCTACTTATTTGGCCTTACACTCAGCTGATGTGTGTGTATTAACATGCGCTTTTGAATTGGGTTCAATCGTTAGCCTTATAAAAAATATTTTAGCTATTACAGGGTTTCTACTTGAGATTGAGACGATGTTAGTTTTTTTTTTGGACGAATCAGAATTACAATTGAGATAATCTGTTTACCTCTTTTGAATGAAGACAGCAAAAAATCGAAACAGAAAAGAATTCAAGGCGGATAAGACAGTTTTGTAAAAATGAATTGATAAATAAGATGAGTGTAGACATATGTCCAAAATAAAAACGGGTATATTATTATTCAAAAGCTTATACTGTATCTTGAATTAATGCAGCGATAACTACACAGAATAGTTTGCTTTTTTAACTGTTCTGCTACTACTGAATAGAGCTTCTTTTCTTTTAAGAGTAGTAAAAGAACGTGCACTTAATCTGCAGAATCTTTTTGGTCTTCTTCTGTTCTTATGCAAGTTAAAAATAATATGCCTAAAGTTTAGGGTAGCGGCCATATCACAATTCCAAAGGCGGTAGAGAGAAGACTGAGTAGTATCCCTAGTAGATTCGGCCACAGGCTTTAAGAATTGTTGCTTTTGCACCTGAGTAGAAATTGTATAGATTATCAATGTATTCATATACATACATATATGACTTTCATATAAAAACATTTACCTTAAATGGTTGTGCCAATCCACTGTAGGATATTTTCTCCTTTGAAATGGTCTAGGCTTTTGAGTTTTCTTAAATGTTTCAAGTTCGCCGTTTTGACAAGCAGGGCATAGACTGGAATTCTTGAACCCATCAATCAAGTATATCTGAAAGCATTCTTTTGCTAGCATTCTACTCATTTCGATGCCTCTGATGGGCCCATGGTATTTACTTTGTCCGGCCGACCAATTACCAAGTATCAGTACAGCGTCATTGCTGAACTTTCTCCAAATATTCTTGACCAAGCCTTTGTCTCCTTGTAGATGATTAATAAGACTTTGATATTTAATTTTTTTGAACGGAAGTAAGCCACTGATACGTTGATCTTCTTCGGTAGGAGTATCTTCATTTGTGTAATATTCCTTCATCGCTGGGGTGGCTTTGGTTTTTTTTTTGACGATAATTGATCAATTATTCTTTGCTAGTTTTTGAATAATTATGTTGCGACAGGGAGAGCTCGGCTGTGCTAATACAGCCTGGTTTCATGCCGTTCCTGAGCTTTCTGTTTTTTTTTTGGCATTTGTTCCAACAGATTTTTGATTTCTTGTATACCTGTAGGCAAATTTTCTTTTTGAAGTCCTACCTTTATGTATTAAGTAAAGCAGGTTATGGCGCCCAGGATTATAAAACACGCATTTCCCGATACCGGCCTACAGCTCTTCTTCCTCTAATGCTTCAACGTACCGGAATTCATTTTCCACCTGAGATATTGACTTTTTGCCACCAACATATTTATTTTTTGTCTCACTGTTCTGCTTCTGCAACTCCGGCCTTTAAATACTTTCGGACTTTGGCAAAAAGCATTATAAATCAATGTAAGTTTCCTTTACACATCCTTTCTTTCTTTTATTTTAGGTATGCAATGATAAAGATGATGAAATACAGCAGATTGAATAGGGGTTTATGGCAAGGTATCTAAAGAGAGAAAAAAACACAGCTACATAAAAAGAGAGAAATACAAAAAAAGAGAGAAATAAAAAGACAGGGAAGAAAAGCCAACTGAATGTGATTCCAGATCTACATTAACTCTTGTTCTTGTTCTTCAACTGGTGTACTTGCGCCGCTTCGAGTTCCTTGAAGTCCTCGCTGTGTCACGGCTGCTTTCTTCCCTGCAAGCATATTCTTGAGGGCACGCAAAGCAAAGACGGTCAAGCCAATCCCTGACCAATCCTCGTCATGAAGGTCACGCAAGTCACCCACGGTCATGATATCTTGATCCTGCAATTTTGCAGCCCACTGTTTCTGTTTGTCCTTGCTTCGATTGGTGGCACCTGCAGTATCCATCACAAACTTGTCGATACTGGTATCATTTGAATATTCTGTACAAAATAAGTGTAATAATAAAGAAAGAGGAAGAAGAAAAACAAATAAGTAAAACGTATACATCAACAAACCATAGTATTTAGCCTTACCAGCAAGAACATTCTCCATCAATGCAGAATGAGTCGTAGTTTCTACCTGTTCGTCTCCAGAGACACACAGCTTGGAAAGTTCGGATTCGAGCGATGAAAGCATCGTACTATTGGTACTATTATCATCTGAGGTTGGCCCCGGAGAGGTAGTGGATTGAGGGGAGAGGTATTGGAGCTGTGGCTGTAGCTGGAATTGCGGTTGCGGTTGCGGTTGCGGTTGCGGTTGCGGTTGCGGTTGCGGTTGCGGTTGTAGTAAGTCAGGAATCTGGAATTTGGCTTGCTCAAGAGCAAAAATCGTTTCTTTACAACGTTCTTCAGCTATTATATTGTGCTGTTCTAGTAGTTCACACTTTTTCTCAGCCTCGAATACTCTTTCTACTGCTAATGCAAGGTCTTTCTTGGCTCTTTCAAGTTCAGACCGGATATCGTTTTCTCGTCTCCACACAATTTTCTCATCTTCTCCTTTATCGGGGGGACCTTGGTTGCGAGCAATGTCTCGCAATATTCTGTTAATTTCGCAAGTGATGAGTTGTTGATAGCAATTTTGGAGGACCTGCTCTTCAATCTATACAATACAATACACACAGCAATAGTTAGATTCCTCTCTTTATTTTCGCTCTGTATTTTTTTGCCAATGTAGTAGAGAGACTTGCCATTTCAGCCACAACATCAGCCGCTGTGTCTGTGTCTGCGTTGAACTCAAATTTCACTGAGAGTTTGTCCATCCCCTTGAAAACGACTTGAAGGGTGAGTAGTTTCATGGTCATATCTTTAGACACCAAGACAACTTCAGGCTCTACAGCCAAGAATCTATGCTCTAATATCTCTTGTGCTGTCATACTGAGTATACACATTTATACACAAAGTAAAAAATAATTAGCATACAAATGTATATAAAGCAACCTATTGTGAGACTATCTATGTGCGTAACTAACCGTTCGTCTTCTGGCGTGAGACATATGTTGACAAGAGTTAATACTTCTGGGTCCTGAACTCTTGAAAGACATTCGGGTTTGATAGTCTACAGAGGATGTATCACTGTTAGAATATGTTACTTTGTCTTCTTTCCCAGGAGGTTAAATTATGCTTAGTTATTTGTGTTCCGTTTATTATTACTATTATTATTCTTACCTGAGTTACTTTCTTGAACACCTGGACTGCATTGGTACATTCACCATAGGGGTATTCTCCAGTTGCCATTTCAAGTAAGCACATACCAAATGCATATATATCTACTTTTTCGTTGTAGCCTTGCTCTTCATACATCTCCGGGGCCATAAATTCGGGGGTCCCGATCACGGTGTACTTTTTTCCATTCTTCATCTCTGCTGTACCCATATCACCAATCTTAATTTCACCATGAGCACCATTAATGAATATATTGTCACATTTGATGTCGCGATGAATGATTGGAGGTTCGTGGCCGTGTAGATAAGCTAGTCCCTTGAGGATCTGGCGACACCATCGTTTTACAATCTTGATGTTTGGCAGAGGTGTTAATTTTCGGATGTACTCCCGCAGAGTACCCGATGTCATAAGCTCGGTAATAAAGACAAACTCTGTTTCATTGTACCAGGCATCATGGAAGGTGATGATGTTTGGGTGTCGAACAGACTTTAGGATATCAATCTCATGGCCTAGATCCTTGAATTCTTGTCGGGTAACCTTTACATTTGTTATTTCATTATCGTTAATAGCTGCAGTATTAAAGAGGAGTAGGTATGCTTATTAAGTATAGAGAAGAACAATATAGGTATAAATTTTATGTGTGGTAAATATAGTTTAAGAGAAAGAAAAAGGGAAATAAAATAAGATTATAAAGGTGCAATGACTTACTTGAATAACATTCCATGCTACTTCATAACCTTCTTCTCTGTCAATGGCCTTATAGACAACCTTGTAGGCACCTTTTCCGAGTACAGTGTTAAGCTTTGAATAACGGCCATTCCCAGATGCCTCGATGACTTTTTCGTAATCAGGCATGTTTGATTGATCAACGAACTCCATGTCTGGATTCATCCAAACACCACCATATGGTTCCATGTGGGGTTGTCGTTCGTATTCGGGAAACTGTGCGGCTAATTGTCGAACAAGGTTGGCACTGTTCATTGTACTGTGAGGACTCTCTCGTGCATGATTGTCAATGCCGTTCATTGTATAGTTATCTAGTTATCTAATTGTATATATGCTTCTCTCTTTCTTTTTATTTTTCTCTGTGTGTGAGTGCGTGTGCGTGCGTGTGTGTATTATATCCCCCTTTCGAGTCCGTCTTGCTCGCTGTTTTGCGGCCCTGATGTTGGGAATGATACACTCACACCGAGAGAAGGAAAAAAAAGTGTTTCACGCTCAGACGCAAAATCATAAAATAAATAAATAAAATATAAAAAAAAACAATTTATCAATACTTTGTAGAATTCAACATTAGAGAAGCCCCGTAGTTCTTTATGAAAAGAGCTGAACAACCAAAGTAGATTACGCCTTATTTTACTTTAATCTACTATACTGTCCTTTATTGTGTGTCTGTTACCATATACCTGGCCAAAATATACCCCACCTTTCTTTCCCACAAAAGACCATAGCTATTGATAGCACATACTTTTTTCTTTATTTAGTCCGCTCCTATTTTAAAAATCAAATGGAAGTTTAACAAGACTGTTCTTCCATTGCACATACGAATAGATTTTATTTGTTTTTACATGATCATCTGATAATGCGCAATTTGGTCAGATCTGCCTATAATTATTTTAACATGCGAGATGATCAACTGCATTGATTATTCCAACTTCTGTTTATACATTACAATTCACAAACTGATTATTGTATGTATGTGAAGTGTGTGGACAAAAACAACCAAAAGACTGAGCTCCAATTGGAGATTAATCAATACTAAGACATTGGAAGTTGTAGTAGGCAGTCAATACTTCTTGAATAGGGAGACAGAGAAAATAAGGATACTTGGATAGAAAATTATTAAAATAGAACAAAGAGGGCAGTAGGGGCCATAGCTAAAAAAAAATTGATGTAATAAAGTAACCTTTTTATCTTGTTAAAAACATTTTTTGTTCTGTTTTTACATGATGACAGTTGAACCTCGTAATTATGCGTCTAAATATATAAATATTATGTAACTTATCTTCTATATCCTCAAAAAGAAAAAAAAGATATTCTACGCATGACTTACATTTGGTCTTTATATTTTTAAAACAAGTTCATGAATTACTCTTGCCCAGATAACTCACAATATAATTGTGTTCCCGATTGAGATGAGCAATGAGCAAGTAAACAGTTAACTGTGAGGGAAAGTTTTGAATCTTGTACATACTATATAATAATAATTGTGCACTCAATTGAGATGAACAATAATAACAAGTTAAAATTACAATAATCTTCTTTAAACTAGTTTGACATGTAAAAGAGGTTACTTGATAACTTTTTGAAAGATAGGAAAGCAGTAGTCTACTGACTAGAATATTTCTTTGTTTGAAAAGAATCTAATGACATTACAGTCAAAGCTCGATATAGTGATATGGATGGTGGACAGAAATTTTATCACTATCACTATATCGAGCGTGTTTTTTTCTTACTCCGCGCATTATTTAGTGATATTTCTAATGCCGCTGTGAGTGGCTACTGTTTTCTAATAGGATTTATAGTATTTTGTCTAAGAAACTGGGCTTGCTTTAAAATGCTAAATAAAATATATACTACATTTATTTTTTTATAGTACAAAAATAAACTCAGAGCTCGATATAGTGATAATAAGCAGGCACGGGCCCAAATTTTCCAAAAAATTATTACTATATTGCGATTATCACTATATCGAATATCACTATACCAAGCTTTGACTGTATTAAACAATATAGAAATTTTTAAAGATTTTCTAATATTCTACTTACTTTGTTTCTTAAATCACATTAACTAAAAAAATTTATAATAACCATTAAAGATTAAATTACTATTTAAATTTAAAAGAATAGATGAGAAATTTATTTTTTCTATTAAATAAAGCTTTAACAGTATCAAAAATATCAGATAGTTCTAAGAATTTAGCACCTTTGAAAACCTTGGAAACTTAACAGACTTTAGAGGCTTTGAAGATTCTAGATACTTTAAGAACTATAAAGATTATAAGAGCTATTACAGTTATGAGGGTTATGAGAGGTATGAGTAGTGTTAGGGGTATTACAGTTATTAGGGATGTGGTATTTCAGGTACAAAACAATAGATAATAATAAATTTGTAAAATGAAGTTGTATAAAAATACTTTAAGACTATGTATAAGTTTTTTTTTATAAATAAAAAGTATCTTTTTTATAAGAAAACACAATCTGCTCTTGTCATTACATCTTAGTTTCTTAAGGTTTTCTTTCTTTACTATATTTGATTATTAGAGTGTATTTACTGCTTAACTAGTGTTGGTGTTACAATTATGACATCAAGTTATAAATTGTATTTCTTTAGCTCTTAGCTATTCTTTTCTCTTTTATACTAGAACTTTAGGATTTCCTACTAAATTAGCTCCATATTGCTCTGACACAGTTTACCTGGCAATATAATATAATTATCTTAACAATCTTTAAGATATTATCTACAATACTTGTGGTATTTCAGGTACGAAACAATAGAAAAATAAAATATTTGATAATAGAGACGTATAGAAATACTTTGAGACTGTTGAGGTATTTGGGATTGTTTATGGGTTAGTATCTCAATAATGGGAAAAGTAGATACTGTGAGAGTGTTATTTATTAAAGAGACAAAATAATATTGTTTATATCTGCTACTATTCAAATCCCTGTAATTCAAATCCCTGTTGTGTAATGGTTGGTTTACACTGTATGAGTGTGTAGTGTACATGTGCCTGGTGTGTAACAGTTCCGGAGATTGTTAACTTGCCAGGTTCATTAGCAAAAAGGAACCAGTGTTTGGTTGTGGGGTCTGTTCTTCACTCAATTGTGGTGTGTATACCACAACTGTATATAAGTTGTCTTTATTCATAAATAAAAAGTGTCCCTTTTTATAAGAAAACACAATCTGCTCTTGTCATTACGTCTTAGTTTCTTAAGGCTTTCTTCCTTTACTATATTTGGTTATTAGAGTGTATTTACTGCTTAACTAGTGTCAGTGTTACAATTATGACATCAAGTCATACATCGTACTTCTTTAGCTCTTAGCTATTCTTTTCTCTTTTATACTAGAGCTTTAGGACTTCCTACTAAATTAGCTCTATATTGATCTGACACAGTTTACCTGGCAGTATGATATAATTATCTTAACAATCTTTAAGATATTATCTACAGTACTAACTGTAATAATTATTGGGCTGATTACTTAATCGTTTATATATATTTTATACTGACAAGATGATAGCTACTACGCTATCCCAATATGAATATGTTCTTATATGTGATAAATCCAACATCCGAGTGTCTGGATCACCACAATACTAACTGTAATAATTATTGACCTGATTACTTAATCATTTGTATATTCTTATATGCTGATAAGATGATAGCTACTATGTCATCCCAATATGAATATGCTCTTATATGTGATAAATCTAATATCTGAGTGTCTGGATCACTATACAAATGTTTTGACAACTTACAAGAAAAGACATAACATTTATTAGACTATATCATCATATAATAAACAATATTGAGTTCAGCTTAAAGCAAACTAAGGCTGTGGAGGAGAGGAGAAATGATTTGGATGTTATTGGAGCAAGAAGAAAATTTGTAGAGTCTCTTCTAGAACTTGTGGTTGCATATGTAGTCAATTGCATTTTTATTGACAAAGCTGAAGTTAATGTTAATCTCATACTCAAACAAGGGTAGTCAAAGAGGGGGAAGAATGCCATTATATATACTAAGACCAAGAGAACACTCAATATCAGTATCTTAGCAGCAATATCAAATAATGATATCAAGAGTATGTCAGTCAAGCTTGTTTCAAAAGGCACCAACACTGAACTATTTATCAAGTTTTTAAAGTCACTCATAAAAACACTAGATGATACTAATGCTGTTCTTCAATAGTACATCTTAGATAATACTTCAATTCACAGATCTCATTTGGTTGGAAACTTTATAACAACAAAATAACATCATATCAAGTTCTTGTCATTTTACTTGTTATTATTGAAGTCAGTAGAAGAGAACTTCTTAAAGCTAAAGGGCTTGGCCAAGAGAAAGTCAAGATTAGATACTAATATCTTTCTGGAATACTTGTTAGAATATAGCTCACAAATAATAAGAGAAAACTATCAAGACTAGGTCCAACACAGCATTAGTTTTTTTAATAGTTACCAATATTGTAAAGAAATTTATTAAAGTAAAAACATTTTGCATTGATATTACTTTTTATATTCTTTATAATTTACATTGATTTGACATATAACAGCAAAAAAAGCAACTCAGGAGGTTTGTCTAAGTTAATTTAAAAATGCTACTATATTAAAAAAAGTCATTATTTTGTAATTGTTGTAAATGAATATTGGCTACTGCTGTAATTAACAATAAGTCTGAAAGAAATAATATAAGACCTCAGCTATTTCAGTCAAAGATGTTTATCAATTACTTTATTATTTAATACATAGATTTATCATATATGATAGTAGTTATATTTCATATGATGATATTACCATAATATGGGATACATTAGTAGATTATTATAAGTATAATTATAACTCATAAACATATTTACTTTTGATATTAATATTTCATTGAGATTATACATATTTAGAGTATCTCCAGCAGTATCTAAACCCAAATACTAAATATTCAAATTAGGATTTTCTACACTAGTACAAATAAAGCAATTTAATATGAAGAATATCAAGGCCACTCTAGCAGTTTCTTAATATAGATTCTAAAGAGCTGATGATTTTAGTGAGATTTTTTCTAAAGGCTGAGATTTAAAATCGAAAATTCAAAGTCACAATATAAATAAAAAATGAAAATTTAGTAAATGATAGAATCTAAACAAATTTTGAGAAAACCTACAGAAGTTTAGATTTTAATTCAAAAAGTTTAGATCTAAATTCCGGATTTGGGTATTTAGATTTTTGTTTAAAAACTGCTGGAGACGTTTTTTTTGGAAAATCTAAACACTAGTTTCCTAATTTGGATATTTAGTATTTGAGTTTAGATATTGTTAAAGATACTCTTATATAATTAATCATATATTAATTATTCTAAGATCATGTTGCTCTAATTAAGACTCAGATAGGATTAATTACCTGATCTCAGTCATATAATTTTCCCAATCCAAAATAATATAAATAGCAGTAGTAGTTCAGTATAAGAACCTTGTCAAATTTTTGATACCAAATCTTTTCTCAATAAATAAATCCTGTACAAGTTCTCACAAATCTTTGTCTCTCAATCTCAAATCTTTAATTTTTCCTCTTAAAAACTTCTTCAACTTCAATTACCACAACAGTAGTTAAAATTATATATCAATTTTATAATAATTCTAAATATTTACTATTATAGATACTCTTATTGAAATTTTTTAAGTCTAATATTTTTATAAATATAATATATTTAAGACACCCTTGTCATCATCAGCTAGTATAATATGTGGCTAAATAGAAATTAATAAAATATGTTTTTTATAAAAGACATTTATCTAATTTCAACTTTATTTCTGCATCTTGTACGTGTGATTGAATACTTTACAATTTTATACTAGTCATCAGAGGTCGCTTTGGCGGAGTGGTTAACGCGGTGCCCTGCTAAGGCATTGTCCTTTGGACGCGCAGGTTCGAATCCTGCAGGCGACGATCTTTTACTGTTTTTGAATATATTTGTATAACGTGTCTCATGTCGGTCACTGTTTTGATGAATCTGTAAAATATTGATGGTTAACTGCAGTATTTATTTATGTGTACTCTTTGGTCCTCGGTTGGTTTAACCTTTTAACTTTTTTTTTTCTTACAATTTTTGTAGCATGTTAATACCAACCAAAATGCTATTAATAAATTGGAATATAGATAATACAAGTAATTGTATTTATTTATTACAGCTTTATATAAAATGAAAAGATAAAAGTTAATTGTTTTACTCAATGTATATATTTATGAAAGACGATATAATGTTCCGTGAGTAATGACAGAAGCAAATGAAAATAAATCACTATAATGAATTAATTATGTTTTAAGATTTCAATAATGTATATAAAAAAGATAGAATATTAAGCAAATGACTAAAGTACAGGATTTGGGATGCTTGTATTCTGCAAAATGTGAGGACGGGTGGAGGGCGTTATTGGGTTATTTCAAGTATCAAAAAGCTAATAAAACAATATTCTTTCTTTTTAATTATGTATGTGTATATCAGTTAATTAGTTTAATGAATAAAGCGTGCCTCGCAAAAAATTGACACATTGACACCGATATTTCAGTTTTTTTTTTAAAATATATATATATATATAATATTCTTGTATTTATCTCTCAAAGACTATTTAACTTTGACGCACGTTATCTTTATTAATCGTGCCATCTGTTTTATTTTTGCAAAAGGAAAATCACACTGAACTTCCTTTTTCTTCTTCTTTGCTGCAGAATATACAGGTAGTAGTATATATGTGTTACCCTATAGAAAAAAAAATAGGCGATTTTAGTGAATTGTTGCAAGTTTTCCGGGGTTTAAAGTGTCTTGTACTTGAGTTTTAGTTATGCACCAATTTCTCTCTCGCTCTCTTTTATATTCTACTTTTTTTTTTTACCCCACCATGTTTTTTGCAGTCAAAGCAAAACATCTTTTTCTTAGAGCATCTGCAGCGGTTACATTATCGAAAACATTATATATAGTGTAGTATAGCCACACCGGGGATTGAATACCAGTTAAAAACAGATTGTCAAATTGTGGTTACATTACAAAGGAACAATTTGAGCTTTTTGACTGTCTAAAGTTTCCAGTTCTTCACTAATGATTATGTTCATATTCTTTTTTCTAAAATTTATTTTATTGAACATTTGCTCTCTATGGATGCATTAAAAATATGAATTTAATAATTTCAATATTGTCAGATTAATAGTGAGCATAATTTGCGAGAATTTCTTTGCTCATTTCTATAGACCATTGTTCGCTTTAACAAAGGATGTGAGAGGGAAGAAAACGATTCAAAAAGATAATATCAATTTATAATGTAACACTACATGTAATGTTCCTGACCTTAAAAATGGACTACATTATCTATAATGTTGTCTGTAATGTAACCGCTGTAGACGATTTTTTAAGAACATTTCGGAATCTACATTAAAACAGTCGCAAAAATTAGTTTTAATGTAACCGCTGCAGATGCTCTTATACATCAAATCAGATAATTTTTATTTTTATTTATATAAAGTGAAAACCAGGCAAATGGAAACCAACCAGATGTTACAGATTATCAACACCTTATTTATATCTATATGTAAATACAAAATTATTATTATAAGTTGTACTAGTGAAGGATTAGGAAATGTTTAATAAAGAGGGAGAGAATGAATTAAAGAAGACGGACTAGCGTTTTCTATCTCAAGCTATCATTTAACATGAACCGGGGGGGAGCTTACAAGCGAGATATCCCTCTTTGGTGTACTCGGGTGGTATTTCCGAGTTGAGAGAAGATGAAAGGAAGAAAAGAAAAAGAAAAAAAAGGGCGTAACTAGGAGTGAATAAACAAATAAAGGTTCAAGATATGGTCAAGATTGGCAAATAGAAATATG